GTGTGCTGTTACCTCTGAAAGGCCGTTCCTTTGCCAGCTCGTGTCCACAGAGCTGCTCCTCCTCGTGCACGGGAAAGTCTAGTTGGAACTGTCATCTGAGAAGTCCACAAGGAGTGAACACTGCAGTCCCAGAGGTCTCTCTCGCAAAGGTCGTCTGCAGGCGGGCATTGGGAGGGTTCTGCCATCTCCGGCTAGGAAGCCTCAATTGCACTTGACAAGCCACACGTCCTGTTTGCCGTTATCTATTGTGGTGTGAAGTAATTCATTCCAGGGTGAAATCAAATTGTCTTAAGCAGACCTAGTGTTTTTATTGGTGTCCTTCCAGCCGGCCTTCCCTCTGAAGTGCCATCGTATTTCAAACAAGCCAGCATCCTCAGGAGAGAACAAGGCTGCGTGCCCATTTTATGCCAGTTATTTGTTCTTAAAGCATTGATAGGGATGTGAGTATGCTGTTCTGCAGCCTGAGGAGCAGATTGCCTAGTGCATGAAGGGTCGAGGCCTGTGCTGCTTGCTACAAAACCGCCATTTAAAGTGAAGGCAGGTGACATTTAGTTGTGAAATATGTCATGGATATCCCAAAACCTTGAAGAGAACATATCTGAATCACGAGGAATGCATTTCCTGCGTTCAGACTGCTTAATAATTACGTGGGAGCTTTGGCATCTCTGTGAACTTTGGTGTCGTTCCTTTGCGCGCACACACGGAGTTCAAAGGAAACAAGCGGCAGTGCTCAGGAGCTGCTGAGTTCAATTTTGGACTCTTCCATAGTAACAGATGAGTAACCACGGTCTCCTCTGATATCGATGACAGCACCAAGGAAGCCACGGAGGAGTAGAGTGAAGTAGATAAGAGGTTTGTTTTTCTTTCTTTATATTCGTGTATATGCATTGAGTACTGAGTTCATGAGGACATTTCCATCCAAGCTGTGTCCCCTTGCCACCCTCTTAGGTAAGCATTTTGTCACAGTTCACTTAGAGATGGTTTAGACAACTGACCTAAGACCTTAAAAGTGGGGGCTGTCATTTGACTTTATAGCAAAATTTGATTGTGTCCAAATTCTAAGGTCACTTAGCACATCAATTACCAGAGAGTACAGGATCTAAGATGCCTTTGGGTACTGGGGGAATAGTGCACGATCTAAGATGCTTGGGTACTAGGTGGATACAAAGCCAGGAAATCAATTGTTGCAAGAATCTATATTCACTAATATTATTATTTCCTGAATGGGTTTCTTAGAGAATGTTCTCTACGCACTACACACAGCAGCCCCATGCTTAAATAACTGTCTCCCCTCAGCAAAAACACTTCTGCCAAAAGCAGCTGGGTCAGACCCAGTGGTGAGCAGACCCTGTGTCAGTAGAAGGGCTGCGCCCTCCCCTGCATATGAATGGGGAGAATTATCTCTTCAGTGTATGGTCTAAACCAGGGGATCAAGTCGTGAGAACGAAGAAAGCTCAGAGACCCTAGTGTGTAGATGAGTATTCACAATGATACAACAGCTCCATGTTTAGACAGCAAAGCAGCCAAGTGTGTGTACTCTACAGGTCATGGGTAGGGCTGGAAGAGCGTGCCTGGGTTCACAGTAGCTATCACAAACCTAGGCAGATCTCCCTAAAATCACTTTCCAGCCAAACCCCACAAATCTCCATGTCATCATAACCCGCTATTAAAAAAAAAAAAAAAAAAAAAAAAAGCCTGGGAGTGAGCAGGACAGAGGCCCACAGAGCGGGTGAGGAGGAGAGCGAGCAGGGCTTGAGGAGAAGGTGCTTCCTGTTGACCTGGCTACTTTTCACTTGGGCCTCGCAGCCATCTTTGGAAACCATGATAGAGAGCCACCTTGCCTGGAGGGAGGAGGATGCAATATTGTGCAACTGTCAGCAGAGGCAGAGGGCAGAGGCAGATGGCAGAGGGCAGGGGGCAGAGAGCAGAGGGCAGAGGGCAGAGGGCAGAGGGCAGAGATCAGCTCCCAGCCAGAGACCTTGAGGATCCTGAAAGCCTGCTGTTGACTTTGGGCTACAGAGGGTTCTCCTCAGGTATTTGATCTGTATGTGTGTGTGTGTGTGTGTGTGTGTACATTGTGTGCTTGCAATCACACGTGCATTTGTGTCTGTATGTTCATGGACACCCACTGAGGCATCTTGCTCACCCAACACTCTCCTTTTTGACACTGATTGCAATTAAATGGCCACAGATGTCAGAAGAGAGTGTTGAACCTCTGAAACTGGAGTTACAGGTTTTGTGAGCTGTTTGATGACAGCCGGGAGCCTAAACACAGTTCTGCAAGTGCAGTACAAGCTCTTAATGCCAATTGAGCCACCTCGTATAGGGCACTGGGGCTAGAGCTCAGGCCCTTATGCTCGCAGGGCAAGTACTTTGTTAACTGTGCCGCTTCAGCCAGCAGGCATTCCAGCAGAGCCCAGGCAGGAAGCCTGCTAGAGCACATGAGGGCTTAGCCCAGCCTGTCCCAGGTGCTGGGGGAATCTACAGTGGTAGCAGGGGTCAAGAGAGGAAAGAGTTAAGAAGAACAGGGTCTCGAGTTCAAATGCAGCTTTGGCAACTCAGTGAGCCGGAGCCTGACAGCTCGGTGGTAAAACACTTGCCTTAGCATGAGCAAGGCCCAGTCCTGGGAGCCCAGCCCCTGGGCTCAGAGCCTCACTGAGCGCTGGCACCCTGAGGCCCCATCTCTCACAGCACAGCCTTCCCATTCTAAGAAAAACCCGGGATCCGGAGAGCATGTCGGGGAAAGGTCATGGAGGATCTGAAGAAGGGGAGAATGATATAGTCTGTGAAACCAACAACTTTCACAGCTGCCTTCCAGATTCTGAGGAGGAGTGCTCTTTGCTGGAGGACGCCAGAAAGGTCAACATGATAAAAATAATAGCAGAAGCAGCTTAGAAGATGGGTGTAGGGGTGCTGACCTGTGATCTCAAATCGTGAGGCAGGAGGACTACGGGTTTGATATTAGCCTGCGCTACATAGCAAAACCAAACCGAACAAAACAAAAGGCTCCCACCCTCCAACACACACACATAAAATCCTGTATTTGGTGACCGGGCCTGGAGAAGCCAATGTTTTTATTTTAACAATTAAAGTTCCAACTAGCAGCAAATCATATTCTAAAACATATGCTTCTAAAGGCATATTTAAATGTTTACACAGTGTTTAACACAGGCTTGCACACCTACACACACACACACACACACACAGAGCTACAACTATAATTCTTAATTTAAAAAATTGGGTGAAACTAAAATGTTAACTATGTATCACTGGAAACCACTGCTGAGCATCCAGTGTCCTGAATCCTTGGGAAATTATGCAAAGCATTAGGAATTAGAGGGATGACTGATTTAAATGAACTCCCTGGTGCTACAGAGGCAGCTCAGGCCCAGGGCAGTGTGACCCTTTGCCTGTCAGTCAGTAAGGACCTCTGGCAGCGTACTGAGCAGACTGTCCCACAGGCCACCCTGTCCTTGAGTCTGAAGATGGGAATCTGCCCTAACTGGAGATTTTCATGATCGATTAAACCCTGAGCTCAGTCTTGGGAGGCAGCAAGTGAGTTTTGCAAGTAAAGGTGGAGCCTGGTTCTCAGTTTCTGAAGCATTTGAAACATATACCTGCTTTTCTGTAGAGTTCTACGGACACTGAGAAAACAACTAAGCAAACGAGTCTCAAAATGACAGAGGGACACACCTGTCCCTCATGCCTTGTTTGTGGGTGGTCAATGGCACTGGGTTAGAAATCTCCAGATCCCAGAGGCACAGGGCGTGTTTCTGAGTAAACTAGCCTGGCCACCCCATAATTACAGCAGCTATGCTAACCATGGGCCCACAGTGGGCTTAGGTGGAAGAGCTCGGCCTTCAAAACAGCCCTGGCACCACACACCTCATGTGAACACCCTCTAAATGATCCCATGTCAGGGGCAATGGCCACTACACAGGGCCTCTGTCTCATGACACCCAAAGGAAACGAGATGTCAGAAAGGACTGCAAGAATTGACTGCATAGACGTTCTAGTTAGTGTTTTCCTATTGAACACAACAGGGCAGGGCTGGGAGATGAGAGGGTGGGCCAAATGTTTGCCCTGCAAGCTTGAGGACCTGCATTCAGTCCTCCAGAGTCCACTGGGGAGACAGAGAAGCAGATCCCTGGGGCTCACTGGCCTGCAGTGTAGGTAAATCAACAACCATCCTGTCTCAAAGATAAAATGGGATCAAATCAAGTAAGGTGAAAAAAAAATGAGTAATGACTAAGGATGAAGTCTGCTGTCAACACACACACACACACACACATTTACACACATACACACACATGCATACACACATACATACACACATATACACACACATACCTCTACACACATACACACACATGCATACATACATACATACACACACATATACACATATACACACACATACACACACATGCATACACACATATACACACATATACATACACGCACATGCACACACATATACATACACACATATACACACAGACATATACATATACACACACATATACATAACACACATATACATACACCACACACACACACTACAGTGTAGATCACTGTTCATTACATATCACTAATGTAACTTTTTTCCTTATGAGAACCTTAACTCTCTTTAACTCTTATCCTTAAAGTTCACCAACCAAACTAACTCCTCACAAACACAAACACACTGTGTTTTCACTGGGATTGTTCTACTTGCCCAAATAATGTTCCCGAGTCAATGTTTAAACTCAGTTCCAGTGGACTGACAGTGCGTGTACTTAGTGGAGTGAGACTTTCCGCCATGAGGTTCCCCAAGTCACTCTACGCCGAGATACCGAGAATCTCATTAAAGACATTCTCAAAAGAATCACCCATTTGGACCCCCAACTTCTCAGAAAGATTCTGCATACACAAGCGGCTTGATTTTTAAGGAAGGAAAGCATCCAAATACAAAGCCATCGGGAGGAGTCGTGTAAGAGCAGACCACGGAGAGCGATGCCTTTGGTTCACTTCACCTGGAGGTGAAGAATTTTATTTCCAGTAAAAAGCTTTATATGCCAAGAATATATTGCATAATTGGCCACAGAGTTAATGGTAGAGGGTGACATTGCATTAAATTCCATAATTCTCTTAATTCGAATTTAAGTTTTAAGAACCTTGTGGGATTCATGGTGGATGAGACTGGGCAGCTCTTCCTTGCTGGCATTGACTGCTGGAACTGGAAGCTGTAATGACTCACACAGGTCTGATGACTTCTCTTTCCGTTGTATGAGCTTTCTTTAGTGACAGATGTTGGGGATTAAACAAAATGAGCAACTGCCTTATTTTCAAATGACTAGATCTTTATAATGACCGGTTTTGCCAATTTATTATTTTATGGGGAAAAAAATCAGCAAGAAAGTGTCCAAAAGCCAAAAAAAAAGTTGATCAAATTACTTGATTGTCTTTAGGAGACAATTACAAATTCAACTCAAGTAGTTTTCTGAGAGAAAAATCTCCTGGGAAGTATCAGCAACCAGCCCTCCCTCCCCGACCCAAACCCCACAGGCTGTAGAGAAAATTACTAAAACTATTCTACAAAGTCATCTGATTTTGAGTGCATGGAAAATATAGTCAAATTATCATGCCAACATAAAGAATATATACTATATTCAAAAGGCTAGTTATCAAAATAAGACAATCATGGTTAGATGGGACCTAACTGTTTTGTAAGATGCAGTACATATTCTGTGGTCATTTCTGTTACATATTACACTCGATCCTCATCAAATTAAGCTATGTATACATGGAATTTGAAATAAATATTTGACATTGGGATAGGGTCATATTCTGCTACTGCTCTACCATGGCATGCAACAAGTAACCAGGCATTAATCGTAAAGTGTCACCCATCCCCTTCCAGAATTCCAAAGAACACGAAAAGTATGTTTACAGTACTTAACATTGATTAGATGTAATGACTCTCATATTAAACAAGACTACAGAGTGTGCAGCAGCTCTGGGTATCTTTTTCGTTGTTCTAGTCTCTCGCCTTTCCTGGGCTAACCCTGAAGTCAACCATAGCCACTCCAGACTGAACCTCGGTGAACTGCGGTTGGGATTAGGGCACACGTGACAATCCCATGTGCGAGCTGTCTTCCTTTTGTTTTTCTTTCCTGCTGTTTTTCAGGACTTTGTGTCATTAGGGATGTTTAGGATGTGGCCAGCAATGAATTTGTCCTTGGACTGTGGACATCTCACCGCCTGGTGTGACTGCGCGGTGTGGTTGTATTGGGGAGGGAGAATTTGCCGATGCTCGCCGCCGGGGTGTCTCTTTCCTGCTTGCATTCTATAGGAAGAAGTCGGTGGCAGGGAACTTGGAAAGTCTTACCTTTAAGACACGTTTTGTAACACTTGTAAGAGGTAAGTACAACCCAGAGAACAGAAGACTGGAAGAAAATGGCGCCTCCTAGTGGAGGCCCAGGGGAACACGTTGGCCTGGTGCTGGCACAGAGATCCCAGGCAACCAGAGCACCACCATCAGGACCAGAAACTCTGCTATCCAGTGACCGCACTGGCCATCTTCTGGTTGTTGAACTGGAGACTGTTTGTGGGAGAGGGGACACTAATTGCCAGGCAGTCTTTTCCATGCTTTGTCATTGCAGGAATGTCCCCATGCTCAACATTCTAACAAAGTTCCTGCCACACACGCAGGCATCCAGACCGACTCTCTGGTCCGAGTTCCTATTAGCTGGAAATTGTCGCATTCTCAAATTGACTCTGGATACTATATGGTCATGTGCAGAATTTAAACACATGACCTACAGCTTATTAAATAAAAGCCTTGCTTTCATATTTATAATGAGACAAAACAGCAGTCACAGCTGCCATGATTTGTTCATTTCCTACTCATATGCAAGTAACTGATGTTTGCCGAGAGGCAAAAACTGTACATTTCTCACCATTCAAGCATTATAAAATGTCTTTCTTTAAAGTCTTGGGATATAAACAGTTGGCTTATAAGAATTACATATTTCCATCTGTATTAAGAAACAATATACATCTTTTCCCATAGTAAGTTGTGTTAGCTCTAAGCCCAAGGAAGCCATAGAAACTGAATCTGTCACTTGTGACCATCAATACTGTTATTTTTAAAAAAATGAAAAAAACCTCACTGGCATTCTTTGGCCACTTGGGACATTGCCCACTTAGAGGGAACTGTGCTTGGGCCCTGGACCCCAGGACATTAACCTTTGTAAGACCCAAGGCCACAGAACAGCTTTAAGGGAAGCGGTTTGTGAAGTAAACCAGCACACAGCACCGAGGTGGCTTCCACTCAGACACAAGTTCCTTGACGTGTGGAGAGGTGTTTCCGGTTGCGGATTCCGGAAGTCTTGTCTTTATTGTCAGAAGGCTTCTGCTGTGAAATGTCTATCAGGGCACTGGCGATAGCAAGGCCTGGAAAGAAAGGAGAAAGGCATTTAGACCTTCACAAAGACGTCTTCGACGGACAGAGGTGGCTTTGGATGATGCCAACACATTTGGTCAGGCAGTGCTCGGGTGCTTACTGGTGAACTAGCTAGCACTGATCGACACAGCTAACTGGATATAATACTGGGACACCCAGTCAGAGCCCCAGGAAGCACTGTGGTCTGCTGTGGGCTCAACTCCTCACTTCATTTCTACTTCATTTCTGTGTTGAATACAGTTTGTTCCGGGTAGGTTGGGAACCTCCAAGGTTACTATGTTGTTTTTGCTTCTACAAACAAAACCCATTAGATGTGTCTTTTAAAAGAGGCTTGGAACACTGTTAAGTTTCTGGAAAAACTGAACACAGATACAAGATTGCCACTTGAGGTTGGTGGCTTCCATTAGCAGGCCCAAGGCTTTCCACCAGCTCCGCCACATTGCTACACGGATAGTTTTGTTGCCCTGAAAAACTGTGTTTGACACTAATTTATCTTTCTCCCTCCCTAGCAAGCATGGCCAGTTTGTTTCTGTAGAGTCCTACAATTCCAGAGTAAAACAAAAACTATTCCAAAATTCCCATCCTTCACCACAGGGCCAGAATGCTTGGCCTTGCTTCAGACCTGACTGAACCCCAAGGTCTTGGGGAATTGATTTTGAAGCGAGCTGGCCCAGTTCTTATGCCTTCCTGCCATCTTCACGTGACGCTTCTCAAGGAAGATCTTTGTTTTGGGGGTCACTTCATTGTCACGGTCAATTTACTCCACATAGGCTTCAAACATGATCCTATGGTCCCGAAAGAACAGAACACAGGGTTCTTGAGCAGAGAGAGATGACAATAAAGGACCATGGGACACAGGAAGACCCGTGGAACGGGGGCACACGACTTTAGAAGGCCTTAACCAGAGGCCACTGAGTTCCCTCGAAGTAGATTTCGGTAATCTCTGACCCACCTGAGTGGAAGGTGAGCAGGGACATACGGCCATCGGAGTTGGCCAGTTTAAGCCCCCAGCTTAAGTTGTTGAATGGAGAGAGGTGGGTGAACTTTTCCGCACAGGGGGGCAGTGTAGGAGGAGGATGTGGAGAGCTCATGACTAGACATCTTCTGTTTGGAAGGGAAATGCACTCAAGGACATCTGGAGACTGTAGGCGATGGTGGAGGAGCAGCTATGGCTAGACGGAGAAGAAATACCACACACACTAAGAAATACCACATACACTTACATTTTAGGGGCTGCTGCCAAAGAGCCCTTCAGAATGCTACTATCTCCCTGGCATTTTCAGAGAAAACACAGGCTCAGACTTGAAATAAGCTAGTTCTTGCTCTTTGGCAATCTCCCGTGAACTCCCAAGTGCCACAGATTGGGTGGTAGGGTTGACTCATGGTAAACACTTTATTTCTTTACTTTATGAATTTGTTTATTTTTTATTTATTTTTATATCATCACAACCTCTGGTCAAGCTAACCACAAGTTCAGACGGAGCAGATCTCAAGTTTCCTCAGGTCTCCTTGAGTACTTTTGTCATAGTTTACAACTTCCCGCTCATTTGCCCCTGGCACCGACTTCTCTGGAGACAGCAGATAGAAGGGTTAATGCACGGCTCCTTTACTGTGGGCAGAGATGACTTACACTCACTCGGGCGAAATCATGCCAGAGCTTGGAAAGTGCGTTCTCATTTCCCTGTAGCTGCAGATGTTGCCACCCCCCCTTACAGTGCAAGCAACACCAGGAGCAAACTAAAGAGCTTCAGATGCTAAAATGGGACATCCTCTGCTAATTCACCCTTGTGCGGCAGTGCCTTTGTATTGGGGAGTACGTGACGTTCAAAGCCTAATTAAAGTGCCATCTCTCACAGTACTCTTGGTTTGCCTCAGGATTCCGAAGCTTGGGAACACATTGAGCTGAAAACTCATAAACCATATTTCCATATTTCAGTTAATTTACAAATGAAACAAAAAATTGTGCTTACTCTTAACTTGGCAGCTTTTTGTGCTGTCCTATAATTAATAAAAAAAAAAAAAGAACAACTAACTCTGTATAGGAACAGCTCTAAGCATGCTGGGAACCTTGGGATCCTCTGGACAGTAGTATCCAAGTGTCGCCCACCATGTGCAGTTATAGAGGACACTCAGGGTCACTTTTAACTTGTGCATAGGTTAAATGCGCTTTTCATTTGGGGCTAAGCTTAACTCTCTTACCTTATCTCATGGTTTCTGGCCCTTCGGGAGGTCATAATGTCATAATTATGTACAGCGTAAAGATTGTAATAATTGTGTTTATGTAACTTGGATGTCAAATGTCAGGATTTTATTTCTGATTTCTGTGCCTCCTCCTGTTTGATACAGGGTAAACTTTAAAACCACCAGGACAACCAGAACTTGCCAAGTCTTCCTCCTACCTTCCTGCAAGGGTGAGGAAGAGAAACAGGCCTCAATTCTGTAGGGACACGTGGATGTGGGGATGCCTCATCTCTAGCTTTAGGCACCTGCACACTTCATTATTCTGCTTCCTATTCTCATTAAATGACAAAAAGAAAAGTGGACTTAGTAGCTTTTTAAGGAGGGATGTTATCTCCTTCCAATCCCCTCATACGTTACATGTGAGGGAAAGGCTGGGCATACAGACAATATCCAGACCCTAAGTAAGAGCTCAGGATTGTCACCGGCTGCATGCTCAGGAAACCAACGCATGAGATGCCAGGAGCTGTGCAGGATGCCAGCAAGCAAGAACTTACAGTGGTAGGAATGCAGATTGTTCAGTAACGGCCATCTTCCCAAACAGTTGGGGCTCAGTGAATAACCAGGCAGCCTACCTAATCCCTGCCTTCAGTGCTAGTGTAGGACAACTGGGAAAAGGAGATGTCCACCCTAACCAGCTGTGCAGGACACACTCACTGGTAGTTTGCCTCTTTACAGCTCCCATAACCCAACACTCTCCAATCTCGATGTAACAGCACACCCCTTGTCCCCTGAACCCTCCCCATTCCATAGCCTGATGACAAGTCTTCAGCGGAAGGTGGCCGGCCACCTTCCAACAGCAGGCTCCTGAAATAAATAGCTTTCGGTTGTTTTCATGTAGAATGTGGTTTCCTTTCCCCATTGGCAATGATGAGATGTAGATATGAATAACCTCAGGTCTTGCCTGTATTTTAAAACAAGGTACACACCCAACAAAGTAAGCCAGAAATGGGTTCTAAGAGCTGCCCTGCCACAGCCACTGTCTCCCAGTCTGGAGTGCTCACTGCCAGGGGGCTTTCGTGGGATAACCTTCTGCTGTGCACCATGGGAGGAAGCATGCCATTGGGTCCTGCGCAGTGGCTTGTGCTGATTGCCACTAGAGTTCCATTAAAATCAGGTTGCTCCAGAGGATCATTTTTCAAAACGTCACACAAATCATCTGATGAAATCCACTTATTGTCTTCTCCTGGCCTCCAACAGTTCCTTGTTATCACGGCAATACAATTAAGTGGGGGAACAATTCATTATCTTAGGCTGGCCATCTAAAGGAATTTCATTCACCGTATCATGGTAACACACAGGCACTGGGGGCTAGTTCAGTGTGCGTCAATATACGCCCACAGATTCAATAAAGATGCTAGGGTTTAAATATTGACTGCAAGCCTTAGCTTTCTGTATTTTTAATTCTTAAATACCAGGCACCGTGACATGTTATTTACATTCCAAGTCTAAACCGCATGAATAAAAAAGTCCGGCTCTCATGTCCCTGTCTCCCATGACTTCCTGCCATTTCAAACGTGCTGCCCTGGGTCACTTAGGTGGGGACACGTTGTGAAGGAGGTAAGTACTTTCATCAGGATTTCCTTCAGCAAATGGGCTTGGCCGGGCAGTCGCGGTGCTGAGTGCCAGAGATTACCACAGGCATCTTGTAAGTGTGGAGGTACACAATGCACCAAGATGGGGCTCAGTCGCAACCTGAACTATATTTGCTTCCTAGAATTTGAGACCTTCACCTCTCTGTAAGCACGTGCAAACATGTCCGGGACAGAACGGAAGATAATAGCTGATAATCAGACACTTAACTGGCAAATACATCTTCAGACACTAGGAACACACCAGGAGTTTAGTGATTGTTTGTAAAACCCTGGTTTTCCCCGTAGAAGTGAAGTGGATGCACTCTGGCAGTAACAGTGTAATCATAAAAACCACGGGTGCGTGTCTCTTTACAATCACGAGAAAACAATTAATAAGTGCAGTAATAAATATTGCACGTCGGATGAAACTGCGCTGGAAAGAACATTCTAGCATCGCACACAGACATCGAGCTCTCGCATTTTACATTTGAATAGAAACCTTGAAAAAAAAAGTCATTCATTTTGAAATACTTTCCTCCCAAGTCTTCGTAAAAGCAAGCAGCACTATATATTTTAATTTTCCAGGAAAACAGCTTCATTAGGCGTGAAAGGTTAATTGCAGGTTTAAGTGGAGTTCAGAGAATGGTACGGGGTGTGCAGTGAATTGCGCAGTCTGCTCCTGGAAGACAGCATGAACGCCGTAAACTGTGTACCCCGCCGAAATGCTTTACTACCTCATTTACTATCTGTCTTCTTTTACGGCTTGTATTTGTAGTTCTTCTAAACCTTTAATGGCTACAGTTTTATTTCACTGTAATCAGATTTAAATGGAAATACCATGCTGGGATGTTTAAATGTTCCCCTTCTGATTGTATATAGCTACACACTTGTGATCAGAGCTTTGGTAACCCTTCACGTGATTAAGGAAGTGACTTTGGGAAACTTTGATGTCACACAGACAGACTCTTGCCATTGAGCAGCCTCCATTGAACACTCAGCGTGGCCCTGCTTGCCAATATTCAGCCAAGGCCGGGTGCATAATTAGAAAATATGCATTTCCATTTTAATTTATCCGTTGCAAGGCTATCACAAGTGAGGTCATTGTGGGGCAAAATTCCAAAGGTTACATTGCTGAATAAAAACCGAAATACTTCAAGTGCTCCAGACTCTGGAAAGAC